TTTTTTCATGATGCTAATTAGGCTTGCATTGTTTGAGTCATATATTAATATCTTCTAGGTGGATTGATTGAAACGTAGCAGAAAGAATTCCAAAGTAAAGTAGAAATCATGTTGAGGATTATCTTAGATACTGAATATATTTTTTGAAAATATGAGTTGCAAACCTTTTTTCACTCTAATTATATGCAAAATAAAGCATGTCTATATTTTAGGATACTTCCAACTTTAAAAAATCCCATATCTATGAGAAAATAACTTATTTATATGTGAAAGTCATAAAAAATTGAAATTTTAGGTTCTTAAGTACATCATAATTGAAGTAAATGACACATTTTCTTGTTTTAAAACATTCCCTTTGCATAGAAATCATCACAACATATATTTCCCATCTAAAAATCATTGGTAGTTGGTTTTTGTTACCTATTAAAATAGTGTATGCATTTAGATATAAGTCACATGCCATTATTACTCAGAGAATATTATAATTTTCTCACTAGAGTAGTTTAAAGATGGAAAATTTCAATACTTTTGTACTAATAATCCAGATTATTTTTATCTACATATAGATAGAATTTAAATTACTAAGAAATTTCTTGTACAATCCAGACTTTAGGTAATTTTAATTATTCAGGATTGCTTCAATTAAGCATCTTTTGAGGCATTATATTTATTAGTTAGACTTTTATTCTTTGAGGTGTATTTTCAGACCTAAGAAGGATACACATTTTATATTTTCTCATTGCAAAATCCTCTCTAATTCTGTATTTATGTCTTTACTATTTACGTTTGCTGGGGAAACATTTTAAATAGTGGTATAATAACCACTTCAGATTGCTTGCAAGTATCTTTGCTTTTCAATGAAAGGTGAATGACTGAGTGAAATAATCTAAAGACAAATGAAAGGCACAGTGCTTACCTAATTGTGAGCGGTTGTAGAAAGGGTGTTCTTTACAACTTCTAATATACATAATAGACTAAAATTAAATGCTTTGGCAAATCATTCATGCCATTTTTAATAAAATTCAGTTAACAATTGTTTGCTGATGTTGTGGTGGATTGTCTCTTCTTCAGGTATTGGGAGATCGATGGGCAAACATCTGTAGGTGGACAGAAGACCGCTGGGTTCTCTTACAAGACATCCTTCTCAAATGGCAACGTTTTACTGAAGAACAGGTGAGTCACATGCGTAAAATTGTAGCAATGAAAGACATGGAGAGACCTTAAACAGGGAAACCAAAAAACTTTGTTTACTTTTAATAATTTTTTTCTTCTTTGGAATTCTTTGATTTCTTTCAGTGCCTTTTTAGTTCGTGGCTTTCAGAAAAAGAAGATGCAGTGAACAAGATTCCCACAACTGCCTTTAAGGATCAAGATGAAATGTTATCAAGTCTTCGAAAACTGGCTGTATGTACTTTTTAGCTTTCAATAACTTTTTAAAATATCCAGTAGGGTATATTATTTGGTCTTTTCTGTGCTGTCAAATCTTAAACCAATGTTCATTATTTTTGTTTAGATCATAGATCATAGATTATTCAAAGAAGATGTCATATTGTTACTTTTCTTGATTAAAATGGGAAAAGCTATATAGGTAGATTTTCAGCTTTGATTTTTTAAACAAAATTGTAAGCCTGAAAAAAATACAGCATATTGGAAGAAGACTTCAATTGAAATCAAAAAGTAACACAAAGAAGTATTTGTGAGCTTTCCATAAAATTCTTAGCAGCATAACTCTAAACTAATAGACCAAAATTGACTCTCAGAGTAATATATGAGAGGTACAAGTGATCATTATCCTCACATACAAGGGATTTAAAATTAGTTTGGCAAACAAGAACAAAAAACATTAAAGCAAACCAAATGGCATTAATTATAAGTGTCTCATGTGTTTTGAGAAATGAAATTTCTTTGGCAGTAAAAAGACTTCAGGGAAGGCTTCATTCAGACATTGGTTTTAGTCGGTCTTTACAAGATTAAAAAAATAACTTCATATGGTAATTCTACTTGTTCTTGCTTTCCACAGAGGTTGCACTAGTTTGCAGTCCCACCAGCAGTGTATGAGTGTTCCTATCTCTCCACTATTTTCCAGTAAAGGAGAGGCCAATCTAATATTAGGAGCTTAATTTTTCAATGACATATTTCATAATTAGGATTCATTTAAATATTTAATGGATCAATTCTATTAAATGCTAACTTGATATTAACTATTAAATATTATAAAATAAGAGTCTATTGTAAATAATGTTTCATAATTTTACCTGGATGGATCTATTTATATCTGTATTGATTTTACATATTGTACTTCATAATAGTTAAATCATTTCTTTAAAGCTAAAATAAATTTTCCCAGCTATTTTAAGTATGTACCATTTTGCCAAATATTTATTTTTATCATACAATTTTTGCTCCATAGTAACTAACCCTCATTCGTCTTTTAATTTAAAATAGATTCACTTATGTGTGACTTATTATTACAAGCTTGTATTGATAAGAAATCATTGCTAGCTTGTTATTGATAAGAAATCATTGCTCAAAGAATATATGCTTTCTCAAGTGATATTACTACTAAAAACAGAGTTCAAAAAGTAATCTATGTTGTTTCAAAACATTAGTGCAAAAATATTAACTATATTTGTAATTTTGTTCTACAGCTTATGGGAAGCCATTGAGAGTTTCATAACAATCACTTTGCATTTTTGTAATATTCTTTGGTAGTAAGACTTTGGATACTAAGAGGACTAATTAGAAGACCTGAACTAAGTAGTGTTAGGTATGAAGATGAGGAGACAGACATAAGGAATATTCAGATTGAATAAATAATAATTATGGTAAGAGTCAGAAGTTTAGAATGGTTCCCAAAATTTTCAGTTGGGTGACTGGATTCCTAGAAGGGTTAGTATCCCTGGTAGAAGAGTAGAAAAGGAATTGCTGGAATTAAAAGACTGATGATTATTTCAGATTTGGATATGTTGAGTCTAAAATGTCTTTGAGACACCCAAGTGAAAAAGGTCATTCCATTAGCTGGATGTACATATTACAGTCTCAGAAAAGGGTTCAGTACTGGTTATCAATTCAGAAGCAATCAATATGTTTCAAAGGGATTGTGTACAGTGACACAATAAATAAAAGAGACAGAAACCAGAGAAATATCTATAATCAAAGAGTGGCTCAAGGACAAGAAATTTACAAAAAGAAATTAAACAGATGTGGTTCAGGTTTACAAGGAGAAGGAAGACAGTAGTATCACAAAAGTAGGAGAATAAATATTTCAAAAAGGCAAAGAGTAGTATACATTGTCACATGCCATGGAGAGGAAAGGATAAATTCAGGACAGATGTTATCATACCGACAGGAAAGAATGCATGGACTATACACCCCTAAAGCAAAAAATTCCTCACAAACATTGTTCTTCTCAGTCAAAATTTGGATCCTTTCAATAAATAGGTTGGTGACCACAGACTATTAAAATGTAGTCATGCTCTCTGATTAAGAGCCACATTATATTGCTAGTTAAACACAGAGGCATATACTTCCATGGTCAATCATAATGGGAATTATCAATTATATTCTGTTGGTTGAAACAGTCACAAGCCTGCCCAGATTTCAGAAAAAGGAATTAGACTTCATCTCTTTATGGAGAAGCACCAAGGTCAAATTATAGAAGAGCATTCCGAGACAGGAGGATTTCTTATAGTCATCTTTGGAAAATACCATATACCAAAGATTACAAAGTTATTTCGCATGATAATAAACTCCAAATTTTAATACCTAGTGCATGTTACTATGTATATCCTTGATCGGATTTACCAGTCAAGAAAGTGGTTCTGGCTGGGCGTGGCGGCTCACACCTGCAATCGTAGCACTCCGCGAGGCTGAGATGGGAGGATCCCTCGAGGTCGTCAGGAGTTTGGGACCAGCCTGAGCAAGAGTGAGACCACGTCTCTACTAAAAATAGAAAAATTAGCCAGATGTGGTGGCGTGCCTATAGTCGCAGTTGCTCTGGGGAGGCTGAGGCAGGAGGATCGCTTGAGCCCAGGAGTTTGAGGTTGCTGTGAGCTAGGCTGACACCATGACACTCTAGCCTGGGTGGCAGAGTGAGAGTCTGTCTCAAAAAATAAAAAGAAAAAAGAAAGAAAGAAAGTTGTTCTTAGGAAGCAACAGATTGACAAAATCCAAATATGTTAAAGCTAGATAGTTGAGCTAGCCGAGATCTTATATGTCATCTAGTGTATCCCCAATCCAATTACATGTCTAAAGTTCCTTAGGATAAGGTCCTCAGGTTATTTCGGAAGACAAAATTCAGAAAAAGAGAAAAAAAAACATGTCCTAAATAAGGTATCATATAACAACAATAGCAGACTTAAAATGAGCACGAAGACATCAAGACTCAGGTCCAGGCTTTTCAAGCTATTTCAAAATTTTTCATACTGTGGATCCTTTGGAAAAGAATAATTTCGATTGAGAACTGTCATTTCTAGCAATCATGTGCCACTATGTTGACATTTTTGTGAGAAAAAGACATTGCTAGCCTCAGGGCCATGAAAGTACTCTCTTAGCAAAGTCTCAATAATTTCCTAATATGATTAAAATTTGTATTATGTCACCTTACTTGTGAACAAAGTGAAAATATGTTTTGTATAAGTCTTATCATTTGATAGTTTAAGCCAATTAACAAAACCTGACAGCTGGTCTCGAATTTGAGGTAAAATTCCCCTGCTGACTCAGGCAGTGAATAAGAATTTAATGTTCATTAAAATATGTCACAATCTGAGACCCAAAACAGGTACCATCTGTCACCAGTTCCTACTATATACCTAGGTATAGACACACTGTGCTAAAACTCTCTTTTATTTACAATCAGTGTAATTTGTTTTGAAATATTATCACTAATAACCCATAGGATTGTCTACTACTTTTCCTTGGAGTGGAAGGTAGGGAGTCAGTCTAGTATTTCATTTCCTCTAGATCTGTGGGATCCATATCCACAGCATGTAGGTCTATGATTTTTATTATCAAAACTGATTTTTTATTTGGCATAAAAGATAAAGATTAAAGGAGAGAAGAAACAATGGCTTTTACGAGGTGAATCCTAAGCATTATAGAATTATGTGAGTTGTCATGGGAAGGCCCGATTCTAGAAGAAATCTGTTTCTGGGGAAGTGTATTGCTGCTGTAAGGACTGTTGGTATTTTCCAGGGAAGGACAGCTCTGGGGAAGGATGGTGATCCAAGAGAGTATGGTGTGTAAGGGCTATGGTGGGAGTATTGTGGAATCGAAGATACTCTCAAATGGCTGTGGGATCAAATGACATGGTTGGAGTTCAGCAAGTCCCTGTTGACAGTGCTGTTTTGCCATGACTTGCTACTTTGACCTCAACTCCTGGGATGAACCTCAAAGAATTCATCCAAATAGAATCCATGGTTCTCAATGTGTAGTCCCCAGACCACCAGCATCAGCATCACCTGGAAATTTGTTAGAAATGCAAATTCTTAGGCCCTCCCCAGACCTACTTACTCAAAAATTCTAGAGGTAGAGCCCAATAGTCATCATTTTAACAAGCCTTTCAGGTGATTCCGATATTTCTTCAAGTTGAGAACCTCTGCAATGGATCAATCTACCTAAGTACAACAATTGGTGATTAGAATTAATCGGAGTTACTTCTTACATAAAGATAAGTAACCACAGATAATACAGGTAGAGAATTCAGTTTTGTTAGCATAATAGAATTTGCCTTGACATTATTCTCTGATGAATACTGCTGATGAGAATAGGGTAAAGGTTTCCTGGGCCTTTTATAAGTATACATTCTTTTCTCACTTTGAATCACCTTCTAACCTTGACCAGATAAAACCTGTGTACTCTGTCTTCTTGAGCAATGTATCTATCTCTTCCCCGTATCTACTACTGACCCAATCTAATTTATCGACCATGGCCTTTATTCCTGGAGGTAGGTTCAGGTACCTTGCTTCTATCAAAATAAAACATATTTCTTCTTTTAATACCCCAACTGACCTTTGCTTTGCTTAAGTTTTCTAGAGCTTCCTTTTGCCTCCTAAATTTTCTAGAACTCTGTAGGTCTCTAACACTCATGGCCCAAGATCAATTTTTGATACGCAGAAAGACATATTTTATATGATTATTAGTAACAATTAAATCATAGTTATTTAATATGTATATATAAGATCCAAGTATAAAAGAATTGACATCCAAGGATAGACAGGACAAAGTAATTCAGTATTATGATCCAGTGTTATCTGGCACCACTTAGATTTCCTTTCTTCCCTCTGCTAATGATTCTGGGAGAGTCGTTTGTGAACCCGGAGATTATGGGGAGAGAGGGAGGGGGAGAAATTGAGGACAAACAACTAATCTGCCATCGCCATTTTTGAAAAAAAAAATCTCTTATCTAGAATTTATTAGGTAGAAGATTTGGTTAGTTCAGTGTTTTTGTCATATAGATTCATGTAAAAATATATTGTTTCAATAATTATACAATTTCATTATAACACTTTTTTTATTTTACCTTGAGTATACCTTTCCTAATTATATTTTTCAATGGTGACTTTCACTTTAATATTTGTAATGCTCACCAAATGCTTTTTGATTTGGTTTAATATTAACACAGAAGGCTTAGTTACATTTGTTTAGGTAACTTGAGGTTACTTATAGATTTGTATGGCAATCTTCTTCTTTAAACATAATTCTCATATTCCTGTTCTGAAATGTTCCCAAATAATTGCATATTTAGCTTAAATAATGAGTACATCCTTCAGCCTTACACATAGGGCTATTTAAAATAGTTCTTACACTCAGAGAAAGTTAGCCAAAAAAGGTTGTACTTATATCTTTTTATTTTAGAATATATGTCTTCATTTATATTATGTCTCTTTCCATAAAGAACCTGTGGTGGCTTTCAACAAAATACATGCATGCCAAAAGTTAATAAAAAAAAAGGAAAACGAGACTCTGTAAAGTAACTGGAGGAATATATGCTGACATTCAAATTTGGCTCTCAGCTCAGGGCAGGTAGCATAAACTGTTGTCTTACTACAAGTGCAAGTATGCACTTAAATTTAATGGAAAGTTAACGTGAATTAAACAAACAAAATAAATATGCCAAACCTATGTATTGTTAAGCTCCCACACTAAGGGTTTTATGTCGATATGAATTCAACTTCTAATATCTTAATTTATGTTTTGGTCTATTACATTCTTTCAAACTGAGAAAAATAATAAAATAATTATTGAGGAAAATTAGAAATGAACTTTAAACCTTACTTTGTTTCCTCTTAAAAATGGCATGAACTGCAATATAAAATACAGCAGATGAAGCAGATTCTGAATGAAGGACAAACTAGTTGAGGGAGACACCAGAGCATTCTGCAGTTCGGAGCTATCAATGCAGGTGGCACGCCAAAATGAGCTACGTAAACTATCCTTTGCAGCGGGGTATATTGACTGCTCTGTGTCACTGACACTTCAGTTCATGAGCAATTGGTGCTTCTGTTTCATGACAATTTCTTTGACATATGTAATGTTTGTCATATTTGCATTTGTTCTGGAAAGACAGGTATCACAATTTAGTTTATATTCATTGTATTTGCTACTGTCAAAAAGATGGGGTTATAAAGTGGCTATAAAATGATTTTCTCCTTTTTTTTTTCTTTTTCTTCTCCTTCTATGTTTACAAGTTAAGTCAGGGACTAGCATTTGCTAACTGGGAATTGGATTTCCCCAGGTGCAGGGTGACCTTAATAGATAAATTAGAATAATCTGCCCTGATCTACTGATTTCACGTAAGTCACTTTGTTTATTCATTCCAAATAAACCAAAGGGAATGTGTAACACTCTATAGCACATGAGAATTTTGGAAATATAAGTGGTATAGAAGTTACTCCACAAAAAACATAAGCATTTAGAAAATATGCAGAGATTCTGAAGGATTTGTATCATATTCAATGATTTAGTTCTTTTAATTAATGGGCTCTAAAATTAGCCTTAGAAAATAATTACTCAAATAGTCAAATACTAATTGAATAACTGATGCTACAAAAGTTTTAAGGCCAGAAAACCATATAACAAATATTTTATCTTCAAATAATGAACAGAATGTTAAAATTGTGGAAATAAATAATATTTGCAATGTTATCCAAATAATCATAACATTTCAGAATGGCAAGGCTCCTTAGCCATTCTCATCTTCTCAACCCACTAGTTTCTTTTCTGTCTTCCTAGTACTTGACTGTCAGTTTTTATTTAAATTCTATCAATAGTTAAGGAGAAATTCGCTATTATCCAAGAGCCATGCATTCTATTTGCAAATGTTAAAAAGTAGCTTCCATGTGTTGATCCCTGTTTTGCCTTTTGAAGCAAAACTACCTTTTTATGTGGCAGTCCTTCAAATATTTTAAAGTAGTTCTTAAGTGCCTCTACTAGGTATTTATTCCAAATCTGATTTTCTTTTCTCTTAAGGCTTGTTGGGAAGATTATTTAGATGATAATTTTCTACCTATACTTTTATAGATCTTGATCTTTTGCAGGCATGATCACAAGCTTGTCTTATCCACACAAATGAGAAAATACATGAAAAAGCAGACTGAACTATAGTGTTTTATAAAATGTAACTTAGACCTATTCTGTAATCTTCCTTGTTTTAATAGGTTTTGAAAGCAGATCTGGAAAGGAAAAAGCAAAGCATCGACAAACTCCGTTCACTCAACCAAGATCTTCTTTCAACACTGAAAAATAAGTCAGTGACCCAAAAGATGGAAGCCTGGCTGGAAAACTTTGCAAAGAGTTGGGATAATTTATCCCAAAAGCTTGAAAAGAGTTCAGCACAGGTTAGTGATGTCAATTTTCATACTATTGATTATCCCAGAGATTTTTGAAACCTGCCATAAGAGAGCAATACTTTAACCCCACAAAAGTTGTCACAGGATTAGTTTTTGCCCAGTATTCAGGTGAATAAAAACATGGCTCTCTTGCCTGTCTTATTATTGGAGAGTTGGAGAGAAGTAGGGGAATGAGTACTAATTGACTGACATAGTTACTGCTCTAGAGTGTAGTCCCTTCCAGTCTAATAGGAACAGCGAGCTCAATAACTTTGAGCAGGTAGACAAAATGCTGGGAAATGGTATCATCACAATCTAACACCAAATCATAGGTTTTTAGAACCATGAGGGCCATTAGTCAACCCCATTTTACTCTGGATAAAAATGAAGCTTAGGGAAGAAAAGTAAATCGTCCAAGGAAAGCTAGTGGTAGGAACAGGACTAGGGCCCATGTCCTTTGATTTCTATGAAGGCTTCTTTTTATTAAATGATGATCTATTCATTGGACTTTCTGCCATAGACTGCTGATTTCATAAATCACGGATATGGCTTAGGTACACTAACACATATGGATTGTGGATTAGGAAAACTTCTCAGTTATGTTTGTAGTGCAATAATATAGTTTTATTTTGAAAATTTTTAAATTTTTAGTAATTTAAAGAAAATAGGGTATTTTAAATGTAGAAATTTTACTTTCTGATATAGTTGGATGGTGGAATAATGGATGATCGTTCAAGATATTAACATTATATACGATAGTATTTAACTTATTTTGCCATAGAGTTTTGTATTATAGGGGCTGACTTTTACTAATTGATCACAACTCATAGATTAATGAACCATGCATACATCTCTATCAAAGCAGTGACCACATTCAATAGATTTTAGGCAAATATAGTCTCTGCATGAGACAACTGCAGGAATTTGTTTACTTGAGAACCCATGTCTATTAAGTACTACTTGGGAAATATTTGTTGAAGAAATATTTGTTGAAGAAATGAAGTTTGAAGTATCACTTCCAGAAATAAAAATTAAGAAAATATGATCGATTGGCCAACATGTATGATTTTTAATCACAATTCAATCTGCCTTTTAAGCTTAAATTCATATTCAAAATTTAAATTGAAGGAACATGAGTATAAATTGCAACCATTTCCCATACAATCATTAAGTAATAAAAACTTCATCTGTCTTCCATTAAACATATTTTTAGCAGTAAATTGATCTAACAGTGATTCTACTACTAGATCATGCTTTCTCTTATTACATGTGATCAGCCCATGGCTACTTTGCCATATATTGGTATCTGTGTAATAAATAAGGCATTAGTAAATTTGATATTTTTAACCCAATAATGATATTATTCCAACATGTACCCATTGGTTCCATAGATTATCACTGCCATAAAATGATAAGTTAGCATGTTAAGAATGATTGGCATTTTTTGATAAAAAAAGTTGTTTTTGAAATTCATCCCTTTTAAGAGATATATTTATGGAGGTGTAACTGTTAACCATAGGTCATGTTCTGGTTCATTTGAATTATATAAAGTAGTTATAAAACTTGAGTTTGCATGATAATCACCTGGTGAGCTAATTAAAATGGATATTCCTAGACCCTTTGCTCAGAAAATCACATTCAATAGGTCAGGGAAAGGACCCAGGAATCTGCATCTAAAAATCTAAGTTTTTGATAAAGTCTGCAGACCATATTTTTAAAAACACTGAATTAGAAAGAAAATAACATATGTGCTAATCTTTATATTCTGGATTTTTACAATGCTAGCTAAAATGTGAAAATGGACACCTTCCTAGGAATGCAGTATTTAAATAAACTCATTCCTTTGGAATGGGACTACTTTTTGATGGGACTATTTTTGTATGAGGCTAATCCATCTCATCAAAATGTTACTGATTTGATTATTTCAATTGGTAAAAAAGCATTAGAAGCCTTATTTTTAATGGGCTAAATGTTATGAGAACACCACCTAAGCAATTTACTTATCTTCTTATTTTCCAACTTTTAAAACTCTGTAATAAAACAGTGCTAGCTTGGATTTGTACATTCTTTACAAAATGATGTCCAACATATGTTACAGTATGTATTTTTTCTACTTTCTCACAGTGATGTGATAAGGATAAAATAAATCCATAGACTTGAAAGCATTTTGAAGGGGAAATAAATGTGCTCTTGATATATAAGCCATATTGTTTAGTGAGTCTGGAGGGCTTTTTGTGGTTCATTATTATTTCTTTTTATTTTTATTTTCAAACAGTTATACACTCCTATTCCAGATGAGGGGCAGATAAATGGACTTAACATTAGGCAAGTTGTTTCCCAAATCACTAAGCTCGAACCTTTCTTAAGCTCATGTCTCAGTTTTTCCCTCATTGGCTTTCTCAAAAATATGTCATCATAGGATGAATCCAAGTCTTTGCTAGGGGTTTTTGAGCTCCTAGGAAGATAGAAATGAAGCCATCCAGGGAAAGAGGAATTAAAAAGAGATAAAGAGAGAGAACAAAGAAATAGTATTTTTCTATATAAGTAGAAAAGCAATTGATTTTCTTTTGTCCATGTTAAATTGAGCTTGATCAAAATTACATAAGAAGAATTTCAAGATTGTAACTTTGAAGAACAAAGCTCACTTATATGCATATTTTCCAGCATATTTGTGAGGGGAAAATCAGTCTCATTAATGATTATTCACACAATATACTGAATTGTTTTAAAGATTCTTTTAAATGATTGGTATAAAAATGAGCAAAGTTCTCATAACGGTTAAAACCCATTATTGCGAAACAGAGTATAGGAATTGTGACTGAGATGACAAGGCATTTGATTGTGCTCATATAAAGAACATTGTGTGCCTGGGAGTTTGATTGCTATTCAGGTCAAAGCTTTGAGGGATTTTGACCTTATGAAGCAGTTGCATGGCAAGAGATCAAAACATGAAAAAAAATCAGCTGTGAGGGCTGCTCTCTTGCATTTCAAAGTCAGGTTTGGCTTGAATAATACCTGGACACAAGCTGAGGATGTTTAAGTTGATGAGAAGGCAGTCTGAGAAAATAGAAATACTGTTTCCAAATGTTAGAAAGAAAATAACTCTTGCTATGTGGATGCTTACAATGAGAAAAGAGGACAAAGGAAATATACCCTAGAATGACTTCTTTAAAAACTCGAATGATCCTATATTTCCCTGTAATTTTTTATAAGTATACTTGTTGAGATTTACACAATTTTTTTCTAAATGCTGTGACCCTAATGGATAT